AAAATGGAGGTGAACAATTGGTTAAAGAGGTCTGCTTTCTCCTCTGGCGCAACCACCAGATTGCCCAGAGGATCTTGCAGGGGCCCTATATTTCCTGGTGCTTTCTTCATCCTTCCTATATATGTTTGAAAAAGGTCTTTTTATTGTCTTTGATCTGGGACGCTAGCCCTAGCTCTATGTCCACCTTAGCTTTCCTGACAGCCCCCCTACAGGCCCGAGCAATCTTTGCTACAGTCTCTTAGACGACTTAGCTCTCTCTTTGGTCTTGGCTCATCTTGATCTGGAGGTCCAGCTGGGCGTCTGTAAATTGGTCCATTGCAGTTTTGTCCTGGTGTGTGTTCCTTAGACATAGTGACCCTTATTTGAGCTGGAATAGCTGTCCTGGGCTCTGGGTTACAAATGGGTTAGAAAACTGTTATAAATGTTCAGTTTTGGCCAAATTCTCTGGTTGGTTCAGTGCACCTGATTTGCACTGTGGTCTGGGCCACTTTTGATTTCCTTCTGAGCTGACAGTTTAGCTCCTTAAACTCTTACTGCAGCTCATCTTCTTAGCAAGTTTCAAGTTGACCATAAGTTTTCTGGTTTCTCCTTGTTCCTGGAAAACTTTGTGGCCCATTTTATTCAAACTGCTGATCACCTCATCAATCCAAGTGTGCTCAGATCAGAGTAGATTTCTCCTACAAATATTTTAATCTTTTGACTACAGGTCATTTTTCAGGCTTCTTGTTCTGAGAAACCTCCAGACTATGCTATAATTCCTTTGCAAAGCCTCCAGCTCTTGCTGTTTATAGATCATTTTACTATCTTGGCTATGTTCGGTATCAATGAGCATTTTCCTTTATTTGTTACACATGAAATACCCACTGGAGATCCTCTATCCAATTGCTTCAAATGCCTGAATGGCATCACAAGTGCAATTTAAGTCAGTGGTTCTCAATGGGGATCTTCTCTAACTTGTGAATTGAGCATCACTTCATTTAAAAAATGAATTTATTGAAGTGTTTAGTGTCAAAGAGACTTAATGCGATCTATACATTATTTGTAGTGAAAACTTCGCAATTTCTTCTTAATTCATAATTCTCTAAGTGTTTACTTTAGGTTAAGCCTTGCATCCAAGTGATTGTGGGGCAAAAGGGATGGGAGTTTAGAAGACTCCTGAACATTTCCTGTTGGAGTCTTAGGTGGATCCATTTAAGTGGATTCTTACTCAGTGTCTAGCTTTCTTTTTTTCAGTTGTCCTTTGGAGGCACTTAACTCTGTCCATTTATTCTATAGGGAATGTAGGCACCCAACTCTCCACTTAGGAGTTAGGAGTTGCAGCACCTAGCATGTAGGCACCTAAGTCTCTTATTAGATCTAGCCCTAAGTGATGATGTAAGGATCACTTGCATGTAATGATAATAAAAAAAACAAGGCCAGGATTATGACTTGCCAAGTCTTAGTTTGAAAAATGCACCTGCTACCCTTTTTGATAAATGATTCATTTGGCAAATGCTCAAGGTTGTCTCATAGTTTATCGTGATGACATTTTAATTCATAACTAGCTAGCAGATGTACATGCACACTTTTTGCCTAACATTATGATGCTTAGGAAGGTATAGAAGGGGAGGGGAAAAATGGGTCCTATCAACACATGTGACATCCAGTTGGACGTTAGCAGTTTCTAAATATGTTGCTTGTTATGAACGTGATGAATGGAAGGGGACAAGCAACAGTCTCTGAGTTAAAGATGTCATTTGAATGTGTCTTGTGTGGCTTTTTTTTCTTCTATATATCTGTAATACTATGTAATAACATAAATAATGTATTTAGACTATGATTTCAGAAAACATTGATATTCAGTTTTAAATTGAAAGAATGAAAGGTGCACATATATAATTTGCTGAAGTCTTTATAGCTCTAGATAACAGACATTTTCTTCCATCTTATAAATATTCTGGGACAACTTAAGGCGGTGAGAACACAAGGATTGAGAGACATTAGCATTCAGTGGCTAAGGCATGGTTCTCAACCCTTTTGGACTTGAGGTCCCCCTCCATAATTCTCGTGAATTGAGTGATGTACAATTACAAAAACTAATTTATAAAGTGTGGTGCTTGCTTCCTTGCAGAGGGGCCTTGCAGTGGGAGTGGGGGACTGTCCAGGCAGAGACGAGCCTGAGCCTGTGTTTACGTGCTTAATTTATCTGCTCATCTCTTAACACCTCTCATCTCTTCACACCTCATGGCACCCTTCAAAAAGGTCTGGTGGCATGTAGGCGTATACGTATGTGCATCGCTTGCATTTATTGTGTTGAAAATGTAGTACGCAATTAAGTGTCCTGTTAAAGCAGGGGAACAGGAGTATCCTGCTTCATTGGAAATATTTTGTTTTCATTATTGGACGGAGTATGCACATTGTGAATATGTAATGCTGGGGTTTTTGCCTTTGTCAAGTCCCCTTCCCAGGATGAGGACAAGATTTTATGCAAGAAGCCTACTAGGGGGAATGATTTGGCCTGATACACCCACATATACTTCTGTCAAGCCCTAGAACATATGCCACCCAACATCCTGAGTTAGTGGATGTAAAGTATCACCTACTGAATCAGACCTCTGTTTAATTCACCAAAGGAAATAGAACTGTGTTTCTTCAGTTAATTATGCTTTAATGATAGAGTGCATAATGTAAGGGTGCTGATTATACATTGATACTGACTGTTCAGTTGTAACAATACCTTTATTCTGTTTAGCAGCAAGCATGAGACCAGTCTCCGAAGACCAGATTCCTCTGCATGAAGAATTCATATACTGTTGTGGAGCTGCTACTCAGGTCCTGAAGTGTGGGCCCTGGAGAGACCTCTTGAATGGTGAGAGTACAGATCTCCCCAGGCTCTTATTTCTGATTATTCCTGGTAAGTTTTTTTTAAAAAAGACTACACTTTAATTAAAGGAATGCTGGAAAGTTATAATTAAACATGAAAAAAATTACTTGGTAAATTGCACAGGGAATTTGGGTACTATTCTTGCCTCTACTTCAAATCCCTCTACTTAGTTTTGTGTATTAATTGCACAATCATACTTTTTTCTAGTTTCCAAATACTGGCACTGTCTCTGTTACAAATGGTGCTGTATGCAGCTGCATTTGAAAATGTTTGACTGCATTTTACTATTATTTCCTTTCAGCATGAGGTTTATGTTGCATCTGCCCATGGATTGTCTTGTCTAATTCTCCTGACTGCTTCTCTTCCTTGGGTTTTTGTTTGTAACCATAACACTGACTTGTCAGCCTTGCATGTGTTCCAGTCAAATGGTTAGAAGAGAGGAAAAACTTGTCAGTAAATCTTTAAAATAAAATATTATTACTTTAGGGATAATGGTTTACAAGTTCTAGATTTTATTATTAATCATATTTAGTATGGCTTGTATTTTAAAATTTTAGGGACAGCTGAAGTTAGTGAGACTTTTGCAGTTGGCATTAGTGGAGGCAGGATTCAACTTAGAGTGATCAAATGTAGCATATCAGTTTAAGTATCCAAGTGAATTCAGCAGTGACTGATTATTTGGAAACAGTTGTGATGTTTCTAACTTGCTTAACTTGGCAAAGTATTATATTTAAGAGACAATACTAATTGTAAGGAATTGCACAGTATTGAAATAAAAGACCCCCCTGTTATCAAGTTTGCAAGCTTACTATGTGTTTGACTTCAAAGTAGTTTTTTTAACTAAACTTTAGTACCATGAAAACATGCTAAGAGCAAATTAAAAAAAGCCTTGTTGTTTCATGGTTTGCATGAAAACAGCTTCTTTGTGTTTGCATCTGTTGCACGAGTAAAATGATTGAACATGTAGGCTTCTCATTACCTCCCAGGTTCAGGTACCTAATTGTGATTTTTCTGGAGTATAATTGGTTAAAAGTTTATTAATGTATAATAAAATAGTCAACCCTTGCTACAAGCCTGAGAGTTTACCAGTGAACAGGAAGTCATTGGTGAGTCTGGAGATAATTGAAGAGGCCAATTTGTGATCCACATATTCAACTGAAGATATGGCAAACTGTTCTGGGAGAAAGGACTAGATCCTGGTGACGTCAGGTCATTTCGCTTTGTCTCACCTGTCCACCTCCATAGCAAGAGGCGTCTTGCTCATTATGATTGATGCCTTGTCATACATCATGGTGCCAGTGGGGATGTTTCAGTGATTGAGGGCACAGGCAGAAGTGATGGCTTGTCTTGTGATCAGGCTCCAGAAGCAGTCTACACTTGTGCCCTTACAGAAGAGCATGGCTTCAGAGTGCTTTAAAAGTGCCCAGTTGCAGGATGCTCTGAACCCTTAGTACAGGGAGCACCAATCCACCCACCCAACCCTTCAGCACAGGCTGGGCAAACCCCAGACCAAACTCCCTCTTCTCCCCCCCCACCATCCTGAAGACAGTATCAAAATTGCAGGGGAACAGCAAACGTCTGCAGGTCTGGGGAACTGCTGTAATTCATGGTGCTTTCTGCAAAACGCCATGAGTTGCAGCAGGGAGTGCATATCCATCAGCACCCCATGTCTCTCAGGTCTTGGTGTTTAATATTGTATTTCTTTCATACTGGTCTATAAGAAATCTCTTATTTTGCCCACTTCTAGACCTGCGACCATAAGTGAGTTGGGAGTATAGGATTTGATTTGGGAGCTGATTTGTCAGGCATCCTTATGACATGTCCTGTTCAACAGAGCTGGTGCTATATAAACGTGGTTGCAATGCTTGTAGTGTTTGCCTGAGCCAGAATGCTTGTGCATTCACTCTTCTGTCCTTCTAAATGATATGGAGCATCTTTGGAAGACATCACTAGTGATATTTCAAGGCTTTCAGGTGTTTCCTATGTCATCTAAGTTTTACACCTGTACAATAGGTTAGAAATAACTACAACCAAACAAGAATTTTGTTTGGGTCATGATTTCATAATTATCAAAGACACCTTTTGGATGTCTCCCAAATCATAGCACTAGCAGATTTTATCCAGTGTTGACTATAATTATCTATGTTTACTTCTTGGAAGATGTGGCTACCCAAAGAGGGGAAACGCTTAACATTCTCTAAGGACTGCCCTCTAATTGTAATATGCAGAGGAACAGCTGGCTGGTTTGGTGTGGGTTGGTAAAGTATCTTGGTTTTTGTGAGATTGATGTTGAGTCCAAGCATTTCGTGTACTTCACAGAAGCAATTAAAAGCAACTTGGAGCTCTTTAGTTGAGTGGACACATATGACACAATTGTCAGTGTGTTGAAGGTCAGTAATGGAAGAGTTGGTTATTTTAGACTTGGAACATAAATGGTTGATGCTAAACAGATTCCTGTCTATGTGATGCTGGATGCTGACTCCAGATGGAAGCCTATCAGCAATGAGATACAGAATAGCTGTGATACAGCTGGAAAAGAGTGTTGGTACAATTGCACGTCTTTGCTTGACTCCAGTTCTATTAGTGAAGAGTCTGTTTCCAAGCCATTGCTTAGGCCAGCTGCTGTCATGTTGTTATGAAGCAATCTGATGTTAACACATTTTGATGGACATCCAGATCTCATCAGGATCTTTCATCAGGCAAAGGCTGTGGTCAGGTCAGCAAAAGACATGTAAAGATCTCAGTGTTGTTTGTTGCTGGACAACTGCAGAAGAAATGCCACAAAGATTCTGTGTGTTGAATCTGAGTGGTCTGAAACCACATTGGGACTTGGGTAGAATCTTTTCAGTGAGGAAAATGAGTCTACTGAGGAGAATACAGGTGAGGGCGGGAATGCGGTACCATGGTAATTTCTGTGGTCTTATCTGTCTATGGTTACGATTCTGGCATCTCTCAAGTCACTGTGAATCTGTTCATGTTTCCAGGTTGTCATAATTATGGTGTGTAGTTGCTGAGAGTTTTTATCCACTATGCTTATACATTTCAGCTGGTATTCCATCATGAGCACGTGCTTTGTTGTTCTTCACCTGCTTAATCGGCCTTTTTGGTAAGTTGGCGGATCTTTCAAGAGCTCCACAACTGAGATTCTGATGTTGAAGACAATACCAGTGAAGCCATTTCACAACACCCCATTAACGGGTGAAAGTACAAATCGCCTGTTAACGGGGTGGGGTGAAATGGCTTCAGTGGGCTTGTGGTCACCATTAGAATCTTGGTTCCAGACTTCTTGAAAGTGCTCCTTCCACCGGTGACGATAGCGGAGCCGTCCTTGAAGAGCGCTGTTCCATCCTGGGACCTCAGAGGGATGGTTCCTTACGTGCTTGGCCCATATATAGCTTTTGTTGTGCTGGAGCAAATGACACATGTTGTGGCTGTTAGGAAACCTTTGAATCTCTTTCACTTTGTCTTTCCACCCCTTGTTTTTTCATGCTCACATTTTTCTCTTGGTCTTGGTTTTTAATGTGGTGTAAAATGCTTTGCTTTTGTTTGAAGCTGATGCCATTCGTCCTGGCTTTGAAGTCTCCTTTTCCTGTCAATGAGAGTTTGAATTTCCCTGCCACCGTCATTGAACCAGCCCTGGTGTTTCTTTATGGAGAAGCTTAGAGAGCTCTTTGCACACCTCCATGGATATCCTTCTTGGTGGATATCTTGGTGGATATGCATGATATCCCAGTGGTCAAGTGTGTCAAGATCATCAAGGACATTGGAGAGTTTCTCACTAAGGCGCTGCTGCAGATGATCTTTTTCTTTCTTTTTTTTTCTAAAGCAAGGTCTTCTAGGCACCCCGCAAAAAAAGAACCTAATGTTTGTACTATACTGTCTACTCTTACGCCCAGAAGTAACATCCAACTTAAGTAACTATTTCTCCTGTTTGCTGTAGATGTGTTCCTGAGCATGGACCTGCCTTTAGGTAAATGGAGAAAAAATAGCATGCAAGACAATGGAACGGCAGTCCACATAGATCAGAACAGACCAGTTTAGCTGGAACTCTGCAAACATTGCATTTACTAAACGCACACTCAGAAACAGATGCAAATGAAACATTCATAACATCCTTTCTGTTCATGCAGTCTGGAAGCCTTTACTAACAGCTGATTGATATTTTTGCTGTTATTTTCAGCCTTGAGCATACATGTTGGAATTCCCTGACTGTGAGAACAGATTTTAGAAAATAAATGGACTCTTAAATAAAGTATTGGATCAAGGGATAATGAATGGTAGGGGGGAGGGGGGTGCATTTCTGGCAGGCACTGACATAGCTGGAGATGCTGAGGGCCCTTGGCTTTCTCCCAGACCCATATCCTAGCCGATTGTTAACTGTTAGGAGCCAGAAGGTCAGTATTGCTACT